TTGGCCCACGTTAGACTCAGCAACTCCAGGATGAGCCTTCTCTTTACTAAGAAGGAAGCAATGTGCCCTCAATATTCCTCTTCACTCTACTGTTAGTGCAAACTGTTTTCCCTTCATCTGCTTCTTACAAAGCATTTCTTCTTCTGATTTTATCTCTAGAGGGCCAGACCTTATGAAACTGGCACATTTTCATATTTTTCCATTTTATGCCTCAGATTAATATTTAGGTTTTACCCTTGCTGCCTGTTTCACAGCTTTAAAAAATGATAGGTGCTCGCTCTTGAGCCCGGACTTGATCCTGGCCTGGCTTTGAAGACACCATGCTCTCCTGGCTCTCTTACCTCACTGGCTGCTTCTGCTCAGTCTCCTTTACTGGCTGCTCCTCATCTTGCTGCCCCAAGTTCTCTCTGCCTATTCCCTGAGTAATCTCATCCAATCTCATGACTTTAAAAACCATCTACAGGCTGATGTCTTCCCAGTTAACATCTCCAGCCTGGGCCTCTCTCCTGAGCTCCAGATGTGGTGAGGAAAATTGGAGATAAGGTCAGAAACAGATCACAGGTACCAACCTGGTCCTCCCACCATCCTCATCTCTGTAGACAGCAACTCCACCTTTGCAGTTGCTAATAAGCTTAAAAAATTTGGAGTCATTTCAACCCCTTTTTCTTTACATTTCTTATCTGTTATCAAATTTGTGGCTTCAAACTGCAAAATATATCCAGAAGCAGACCACCTTCAGTTTCCACCTATGTCACCTGGGTCCGAGCCACTATCTTCTCTTGACTGCAGTATAGTAGCCTCCTCACTGGGTTCCTACCCTCTCCCGTCCTTCATTCTGTGGGACTTAAAAATATGAGTCTGATCTGTTTGTGTCCTTGCTCAAAACCATCTAACATCTCTTCTAATGGTTCCTCATCTCATTCACATTCAAGGCCCTATGCTAAAATATCCCCCCACCCCAGGACCACTCACCCTCCTGCATTCTGCCCTAGGCACTTCTTGTTATTCCTGGAACAGAAAAACTCCTGCCTCAGGGCCTTGCTGTTCCCGCAGTAGCTTGCTCTTTTACCTCCTTTAGGTCTTTGCTCTTGTGACATCAGTAAGGTTTCTTAACAACCCTACTTAAATTTGCAGCATCCTCCCAATACAAGCACTCCTATCCATTCTCACTGAAAGCTGGAATTTTTTTTTTTATTTAATGCTGAATCCCCAATGTCTAGAACAGAGTCTGGCACATTGTACGCGCTCAATAAATACTGTATTAATAAAGAACAGCTAGAATGACACTAAGCATTGTGATGTGCGTTAATGGCTAATCTCACTTAACGCGCACAACCGTCCTAAGAGGCAGGCACCGTGGCATTTCCTACTTTACAAACGGGGACGGAGAGGTTGCAGCTTGCGGAGCCCCACGTTTCTGGCTCCCAGGCCTCTCGGTCAGGGCTGACCTGTCGCCCCTCTCCCCGCAGGTCCCGAGCGAGGCGCCAGCGCCGTCGGCCGACCCGGCGCGCCCACACGCGTGCCCGGACTGCGGCCGCGCCTTTGCGCGCCGCTCAACGCTGGCCAAGCACGCACGCACGCACACGGGCGAGCGGCCCTTCGCGTGCACCGAGTGCGGCCGGCGCTTCTCGCAGAAGTCGGCGCTGACCAAACACGGCCGCACGCACACAGGCGAGCGGCCCTACGAGTGCCCGGAGTGCGACAAGCGCTTCTCGGCCGCCTCGAACCTGCGGCAGCACCGGCGGCGCCACACTGGCGAGAAGCCGTACGCATGCGTGCACTGCGGCCGCCGTTTCGCGCAGAGCTCCAACTACGCACAGCACTTGCGCGTGCACACGGGCGAGAAGCCGTACGCGTGCCCGGACTGCGGACGCGCCTTCGGCGGCAGTTCGTGCCTGGCGCGCCACCGACGCACGCACACGGGCGAGCGGCCGTACGCATGCGCCGACTGCGGCACGCGCTTCGCGCAGAGCTCGGCGCTAGCCAAGCACCGGCGCGTGCACACAGGCGAGAAGCCGCACCGTTGCGCCGTGTGCGGCCGCCGCTTCGGCCACCGCTCCAACCTGGCGGAGCATGCGCGCACGCACACGGGCGAGCGCCCCTACCCGTGCGCCGAGTGCGGCCGCCGCTTCCGGCTCAGCTCGCACTTCATCCGCCACCGTCGCGCTCACATGCGGCGCCGTCTGTATATCTGCGCGGGCTGCGGCCGGGACTTCAAGCTACCCCCTGGCGCTACAGCCGCCACTGCCACTGAACGCTGCCCAGATTGTGAGGGCAACTGAGCCGCCGTTCTTGTCGCCGCGGGGTCTGGTTGGGGAGGGACATACTGGGACCCAGGCCTGGGATGCGTTAGCGTGGACGACGACTCCTCACCCCACCACCCGGGACTGGGATCGGGTGGGATGGCAGTCTTGGCTGCCCTCGAACTGGGAGACAGGGAGAATCCCCCGCCGAGGTTCCTGGAAGCCGTGCCCACCTCCCCCTCATTACATCCCCTCCGTCCGTGTTAGTGAATAAAATATTATATCCTCACCCTACCTGTGCCTGTGAATGAGGTGAGTGGGGACAGGAGGAAAGTTGAAGGTTTCTTCAGGCTTAGGTGAACTGTCGTGGAGCCAACTAGGGCTATAAGCCCCAAAGGTTTCTGGAACTGCGTTTCTGCGTGTGGTGGAGTCATCCTGCACTCGGCCCTTGGCTATGTCCTCAAAACCTCAGATCTGGAAGGGTCCATATGTTTAGCATATGCGTGATCAACAAGCACTGTATTCTGCAGAGCTTTGGCGAGCGGCATGAACCTCACAGAATTCAGTCTAGTGAAGAAGTAGTCTTCATAGCACTAGAGAAGCTCTTCTCAGAGGTGATATTTAAGCTGGTCTTAAGAGCATTTTGGGGTTGGGGAAATATGGAGAGCCCCTGAAACTGCATGCCAGACTTGTTAGAGCTTGCAGATGTCCCCTGGGGTGGAATGTAGGGACAGAAAGCAAAGAGGTTGGCAGGAGAGACCACTAAGGAACTTGGAAGCCAGTTAAAGGTTCCAAGGCCGCAAAGAAGCCTTGAGAGATTAGAGGGGAGGGGTGGATCTGGCATATTTTTAAGGAGCTAGAATTCATAGGAGTTAAAGTGGCTGTGGGGATAAGGGAATGGAAGAGTGGGGCTGACTTCATTTCTTAGCTTGGGGGACTGCAGGTAGTGTCCCTGAGATGGCACAGGATGAGGAGCAGGACAGGACTTGAAGTGGCAGCAATTGTTACACCCTTATCTGGACATGTTGAGTGTGATTAAATGTGGAGGGGTCAGGGAGGTGATGGGAAATAGCAGCTTGGGGATATTAGGTCTGGAGGGCATGGCACCACGTTCAGAAGGGGGTCCTTGAGAACTTGAGTCTGTGAAAGAACAGCCAGCGGCAGAAAGAAAACCAGAAGTGTCTTGTCTGGGAAATCTAGAGGCAAGTGTTTCACGGAGGAAAACAGCTCAGTCAACTGATGCTCTGGTGTCCACTGTGTATGTATGAATTTGGGGAAAGTGGTGTGGACAGTTTTAGTGGAGGGGTTGGGGTGAAAGCCAGCTTTGAGTGGATTAGGGTATAAATGGGATAAAGAGTAAGCAGAATGGATCCGTGTAGACGACCCTTTTCAAGAAGTTTGGGCATGAAAAGCATGAGGGAAGGAGCTGGAGTTCTGCTGGTTTTGTTTGTCAATAGGGAAGAGACTCATGTGCTGGTGGGAAGGGCTAATGGAAAGGAAGTAATTATATAGAAAGGAGATGAGATAATTGATCAAGGAGACAGGATTAAATAAGAGATCAATAAGAGATCAATAAGATAAGGCTCCTATCACTGGTAGGGAGAGGAAAGGAGGGTTTGGGAACATAAAGCTAAAGCAGTTCCAATCTGATGGATCCTTTTTTACCTGGGAAATAAGAGAGGTCACTGGTTAAGAGAGAGTGAGGTCATTAATAAGAGGAATGAGGCCAGTAACGGAAGTGCTTCATTTTACTGATGTGGAAACAGGCTCAGAGGGGAAGCAAAAGTAGTTTAATGGTCTTCCCTGCGTTACCCTACCCTGTGAAGGAGGCAGGCCATGGGTATCTCAGTAAAGGAGATACGTCTGAGGTCACACAACACTTTTCTTTAGGTGTAGAAGTGGAACAAGAAATTGACCTTGGGAGGGCAGGAGAGGGGCAAGGGGCTCAAGCCCCGGAGAGAGGAAGCCCTGTTCTGCTCCAGACCAGGTGGACCTGACCCTGATTTGTGCTGGGAGCCAAGGGAGAGGGACAGAGGGGGCTCACAGGGCTGGGGTCTTGATGGACAAGGCTGGGGCCTGCCCTAACTGTTGATATTTCCTGCTCTGGCCTCCTGAAAGTTTTGAGTTGAAAAGCAAACATAAGAACAACTGCACACTTAGGAAATACCTAGTATGTGCCAGGCACTGGCCTAAGCACTCTTCTTACAGTAACTCGCTTAAATCTGACAGCCCTATCAAGTAAATACCACTCTTTCCTTTTCTTTTTTGTTTTTGTTTGAGTAAAGGTAGATTTATTCAGAGAGATACATACTCCATGGATAGAGTGCAGGCTGTTACAGAAGGCAAGAGAAAGGCCACGAGGTGTGGGGGTAGGGTGTCTAGTTTAAAGTAAAAGTAGTTACACACTCCATAGACAAGAGTGTGATCCCTCTCAGAAGGGAGAGCGGCCCATTCTTTTCATTTTAAATGAGGAAACAGAGATACAGAAAGATGAAGTAATATAATGAACATGAACCACTCTCAAAGATAGCTCCAGAATCTGGGCTCTTAACCAACACTACATATGGTCTCCAATCTTGTTTAGAGAAAGGGAAGAGACTTGCATGAGATCAGACAGGGACCTTACTGGAAATCAGGTCTCTCTGCTCTGCAGGAGGGAGGTACAACAGAGAATCGTGGGAGCTGGCCTCCCTGGGGTCCCTCCACAGCCTGTGCTGAGACAGAGACTCCCTGGCTGCTCCAGGAAGAATCCAGAAGTTGCTAACCAAAACTTGTACTGAGAAACAAAATAATCAGGAGGTTATCTTCTGGAAGTTCTTGGGCCTCAGACCTCAAGAAGTGTAGACCCCATGCCCATGGTCTGCTAGGAAAGGTCTAGAATGAAGTTCCATGGCCAGGGCACCCTCTGCTCCTCAGATGCCGTGCTGGGTCGGAGGTTCTGTGCCTACGTCTCTAGGTTGGGGCCTGACCTGCAGACTCACAGGCAAGGTCTGCAGGCCTCACAGTCTGGTCTTCAGAGGTGGCCTCGTGGGGCAAGTCTGTATACTTGCGGGCGGAGCCGCGGGACAGATGTGCTGGGTAGCGTTGCCGGTTGGTGTCCATCTTGGAGAGCACTGCTTGGGGCAGGTCTACACGGCAGCGGGCTGCTAATGCTACCAGGTAGATGAGGACATCACTAAGCTCCTCTTGAAGTGCTGCTCGTTCCCTGGGGGACCAGGCTTGAGGGCCAGGCTCCTCATCGGGCTTCCACTGACTGGGGAGAGAACACATAGGCACACATGCATAGACAGTAACCAGGACAATGGGTCCACCTCTCTTAGGTGCACCCTAGTTCTTGCAGCAGTAAACTCCCACCTCCTGGGAAATTCCTCCGAGGACAACTCAACTCATCTGGGCTCTGACTTTTCATGGGCCCCAACAGATGACTCACCCAGACCTCTGTGTTCCAAACCTGAGCCAAGTAGCCATGAGAACATGTCGCTTACTGCAGCCCAGTTCTGCTCCCCACCCCCCGCTGGAGCCCTAGACTAAACCTCAGACCCGGACCTCTGAGGAAGCCTTCTAACATCGTCATGCCTCTTGCCCTGTGCCATCTTTTAAAAGCACAAATTACATTTTGTCCCTTCGCTGCTTAAAACTCCCTCAACTGTGCTTGGAATAAAATCCAAACTCCTACCATGCCCTCTAGGTCCTACATGAATTGACTCCTGCCTCTTCCAATGTCATTGTCCACCACTCTCCCTTTGACTCCCCACCTAAAGCCACTCTGGCCCTTTCTGTCTTGCAGAGAGGCCAAACTGTCACAGGGCCTTTGCACTTACTGTTACCTCTGCCTTGAATGCTCTTCCCCCCATCCTTCCCATGGCTGGCTGCTACTCAGGTCTCAGCTCAGATGTCATGTCCCCAGAAAAGCCTTCTCCCTCTGTTATTTTCCTTCTCATCACCTTGTGTTATTTTTCCACATAGAATTTGTCACCAGTCCATATCTTTTAAAATTGGTTTGATTATTTATTGTCAGTTCCCTTGCACTGTGATGTAGGAACTTGTCTGTCTTGTTCAAGGCCGTATCTCGATCCTAGAATACCTAGCACACACATGATGCTCCCGAATCTGTAATGAACGAATGGCTTGCCCTCACAGACATTTGTGCCCTCATTTCTTCACCCAACAGTGACTGCCCAGCTTAGGCCTCACCACCTTTTGCCGGATCTACACCAGCCTCCTCACTGGTCTCCCCTGGCTCAATTCTCTTGGTGATCCAATCCACCCTGAAGACATAGTGATATTTCTACCACTCAAATCTGGTTAGGTCTTCAGTATAAACTCTATTACTTCCCAATCCTGATTCTGTGTTCCAACCTAGCGCTCTCCTCCACAGCTACAGCAGATATATATTGAGTGCCTATTGTGTGCCAGGCACTTCGGATGGACCAGAGAACAAAATATACACAATCCTTGCCCTTCCTCGAAAAACTTACACTGAAGGAATCTTAAACTCTCCCTTAATTTAACTTGCCCTTTCCTACCTCGCTACCTTTGCAAATGTAGTTCCCCCTGTCTGAAATGCCATAGGCAGGTCTCCTATAGAATCCTTTCCAACCCAGAGGCAGAGGTAAAGGAAGGTTCCACCACCTCTTCTTAGACCTGGATCTGCCTTGCTGTTTTCACAATTTTCCCAGGAGCCTGGACAGCCCTAGTGGGCAGGGACCCATTAGCCATCTCTGTATCCCCAGCAACCAGACACAGAACTTGATAGTGAGGAGGGGAAATTGCATCCTGGGATATTTGATGGTCACATAAATCCTCCCCAACAGACAGACTTTCATCTACTCACAAAAGCTCCGCCAGCTCCCCTACTTCCCCCACCAAGGCCAGGAGGAGGTTCCGAGGCTTATGGAACTGGTCCCAGTCTCGTTCAGCAGCAAACTCAGCATGGAGGCGGCGGCTAGAAGAGGAGGAAAAGGGTGGAAGTCCAGGTCCCAAGGTTAGCGGGTAGGGCAGAAGATGCAGAACCCAGGCAGGTACCTCAGTGATATGTAATGGGGACATGGGTAGCAGAGAGGATTCTGCAACTAATTCCTTGGATGGCCTAAGCAAGTCAGTTGTCTTTAGGGTACTTGGTTTCCTTATCTATAAAATGGGTGCGCCCTTACACAGACCCTAAACTATCGAAATCTAACAATACCTTCTTTTCCGTTATTCCACCTCCTGCTGGGGCTTCTGCAGTTTCCTCCACCTAGAATATCCCTATCTCTGCATATCTAAAGCCTATTGATTTTACAGAATGCAGAACCAAGACACTTCCCCTAAGAAGCCCTCCTTGATTTCCTCCAGCAGTAAATGTCTCCCACCTCTTAGCACTACATTTGCCCCCGTCCTACGTCTCGTTCCTGGAGGGCAGAGGCAAGGCAGAAGCAGCATTTGACTCCGGTATTCCCCGCCTCAGGTGTGCACTGTTAATCCCATTTTCCAGATAAGGAGGTTAGAAGCCTTGCCTGAGGTCAGGGAGCAGAGCTGAGACCCCAGCACAGCTGCTAGCTTTCTTGCCGACCACGTGGACGGACCCTCCCCAGTAGGAAGGAGAAAGGGGGCGATCTCCCCAGCCCAGACGGGGCAAGGACGGCTTACATGTCCTCCAGCGTGGGTTCAGAACTGAAACTGAAGGGGCCGGCAGAAGCAGTGCCCTCTCCCTCCGTGTCCCCACGCCTCTCCTCACCAGCTGACATGCTGCCCACCACACAGCAGTCGGGACTGCCTGGGAGAACCTGGGTCCAAGCTCAGAGCCCCCGCCTCCGGAGCCCCAGGCCAATCACAAGCATTCACGATTGCTTCATGGGGGCGGAGCCGAAGGAAAGACCAATTGTTTACGTGGAGTTTACTACAGCCTGCCCCTTACCGGGCCTGGACCAACCTAAGAGAACTTCAGGCCTGCTTTCCTAGGCTCTGGCCCCTGAATTCTTGAGTCTGGACCGAGCGTCTTAAAGGTGTATGTACCAGATTCTAGCAGGGGAAGAGACAAAAGGTCAGGCAGAGGGCGAAAGAGCGCAGGCGCATCACTTCCCTTTTGGACGCCAGATGGCGCCAAAGCAAAATGAGTGGGCGGGGAGCCCCGTGGAGAACCCCAGAAACGAAGAGTTTAAACAAGAAAGGGGAATTTAGTAAGAGGATAGAGGAATGTCTCTAGAATAGAGCTGGGCCTTAGGAATGACCTAGAACTAAAGTAGCTGTTTCAAGCACTTTACATACTTAATCCTCACACAACTCATTCAGCCCTCACAACAACCCTCTGAGGTAATCATCATCCTCACTTTACAGATAAGGAAACTGAGAGATGGAGTAATCTAACTCAACAGCTAGTAAAGCGGTAGCCAGGTTTCAAATTCAGGCAGTTTGGCTTCAGAGTCTGTGTTAATCCCTATGTTGTCTCAAATGGTGATAAAGTACTATGAAAAAGATTTTTCAATCTACAATATTTAAATACTATGAAAAGTGGGGGCAGCTTTAGACTACATGATCCAGAGAAGATGGGGTAAGTAAGAACTGCTGGTTACCTACTCAACTGCCCTTTCCCCTCCTCTATTCTTGGCAGAACCATGATGCTGTTCTAGGGTCCACTCTCCTCTGCTTGATTGATCATGTGACCCCCATTATCCTGGCCATTGATCAGTTTTATCTGTGAACATGTGGCCCAGTTCTTGACAATAAGAAGTTAGAAGAAATCTGTTGGAGACTTCTGGGAAAGTTTCTTAGTTCTTTTTTTCGAAAAGTCACAGGATGTTTCTGCTTTTAGATGTTGGTATGTGAGGATCAGATTGTGATGAGAGCTAGCCCACAAGTTGAGACTGGTAGACAGCAAGATAGAAAGGACCTATCCATTATTTTTACAAGTTACAGAGGTGCCCTGATTTAGGACTCTGATTATGTAAAATAATAAATCCCTTTATTGGTCATATGACTTTTAGTTAGTTTTCTGTTACTTGTCTTTGAGCAAGTGACATTTTTTTCTTTTGTTTTTTTTTTTAATTTCTGAATTTATTTTACAATATCATATTTTTTAAAGTGAAGCATATTTGAGGTACAATATTATATGTTACAGGTATACAATATAATAATTCACAATTTTTAAAGGTTATACTCCATTTATAGTTATTATAAAATATTGGCTATATTCCTTGTAAAATACATCCTTGTAGCTTTTTTTTAGCTTTATGTTTTATTTATTATTTAATTATTTTATTTTGGTCGGGGGAGGTAACTAGGTTTATTTGTTTTTAGAGGAGTTACTGGGGATTGAACCCAAGACCTCATGCGTGCTAAGCAAGCACTCTACCACTTGAGCTATACTCTCACCCCCTCTTGTAGCTTACTTTATACCTGATAGTTTGTACCTCTTAATCCTCCACTTTCATAGCAAGTGACATTTAAGCTGAGCAAAAATCAAGGGGAATAGAATTCTAGGTAGAGAGAACGCCAATGCTTAAAGCAGGAAAGGCTTGGCATGTTCTAAAGACAAAAATAATTCCAGTGTGGCAGGAATATAGTGAAGATGGGGGAGAATGGTGGGATATGGTGTTGGAGAAGTTAAAAGAGATGAGATCAGATCAATCAGCCATGGACTTTATTTTATATTTTATTTTATTTTCTATTCTAAGTATTATGGAAACGCTTTGGAGGGTTTTAGGCAGGGGAGCCATGTGATTGTATTTTGTATGTTTGAGCCCTCTGGCTGCTGTGTTAGGAATGAATTGGAGGAGGGCAAGAGTAGAAGCAGGGAGATGAGTTATGGCTGTTGTCCAGGAAAGAGATGATGGTGACTTGGGCCAGGCTGATGGTGGGTGAAGATGGAGAGAAGTGGATGCCTATTTTGGAGATAGACCTATAAGCTTTGTTGGTTTTTAACGAGTGAGATGGGAGAAAGGGTAGAATCAAGCATGGCTTACAGGATTTCAGTGTTGAGCAATTTGGTGAATGGATGGTGACTCATACTAGGATGAGGAAGATGAGGTGCAAAATTGAACACATGTAGCATTAGAACTGTGTTTTAGGACAGAGGAAGTTGAAGATGCATACCAAGTTGGCAGGAGGATTTATGAGCCTAAGGTTTAGAGAAGAGATAAGGGCTAGAGAATCAGTTTTGGTAGTCTCAGTCATTTAAACAGTACTTAGAGGGTGGGTATAGCTCAGTGGTAGAGTGTATGCTTAGCATGCACGAGGTCCTGGGTTCAATCCCTGGGACCTCCATTAAAAAATAAAATAAATAACAGCACTTAATGTCAAGGAATTGGAGAAGAATAACTTATACAAGAATCTAGGTAGACAAGACCAAGATTTGGGGCACTTCAACATTTAGCAGTTAAGCAGAAGAGAAAGGTGAGGTAGGAGGAAAATTGGCAGAGTGTGATGTTATAGAGGCTAAGAGAGGAAAGTGGTCCAGAATGAGTGCTGCTGAGCTGCTGTGTAAAATGAAGTGCAGAATTTGCTACTGGATTAGGCAACATGGCAGTTGGAGATGGGAGATAAGAGGGAGTCCTGGGTAATTCCTCGGTTTCTGGCTTGAGTAAATCGATGAATAGTTTTGCCATTCACTGAAATGAGGACACAAAAGACCTGGCAGTTGGGGTAGGAGGAAAGCTAATGAATTCAGTTTGGGACACATTGAGCCCATGATGGCTCTAGAACAACTAGATGATGTCCAGCCGGCAGGTGGACATACAGGTCTGAAGTTCACAGCATTGAGCTGCCTTATGGATCTGGGTACTGAAAGTTTCAGAAGCCAAGTACCACCCCTAGCTCCTTCCTTGATGTTTGCCAAGCTTCTTCAGGCAAGAACACAAACTCTCACTGGAATATAAAACACCACTTGAAGAGCAGCTTCTCAGGAGTTCTCTGCATCTCTGATTTTCGAAGAGTCAGGTTTCCAGGACTTGTAGAGTTCACAGGTCAGATGGTCCTTGGAGACTGACAGGAAGGAGGAGATACTCTTTCTCGGACTGCCCCTGCCCACCCCAGCTAGGAGGTTCCCTGGCTGAGCTGTAAAGCTCTTGCAAAGCATCCTGCAGGAACATCCAAGTTCTTAGCTCCACAGTGTCATGCCCTGAAAACCAACCAAACCCAGCTCCAGCCCAGCACAGAGCATGGAGTTGGTGATAGGGGTGCGTGGGAGGCCTTCATGAAGGAGAAGGAACAGACATGAACATATGATTGGCCCCATCGTGTGGACTTCTTATCCCAGGCTCTTCCTGAACCCTCACCCCACATCCTGTTAGTTTCCTTTGTTCTCCTCAGATACATCTTGGCAGCCAGATTTCTCTGCTTTATTCAGGGCCTCAGTATACTTGGTCTTGTTTTTTGGTCCACATTTGTGATTAGCCCTTTATAAATAGGTCTATTCCCCAGAGTCTGGACTGTTCTCTTTTCAAACCAAAGATGTTTATCCAGTACATGTTAATGAATGTTTAATGACAGAATGGATGGGCTGGGACAGGCAAGCATGAATATGCACACACGCCCTTCTGCTGCTCAAAAGAGTTTGGCCATCTTCCCCACTAGACTCAAGCAGGTGCAGCTGGTTCCAGTAAGGCTCTTCTCTTTGGGAAACCCTGGAGTGGAAGAGGCAGTAGAAGCTGGAGAACAAAGTAGCAGAGGCCCATAAGCTGGGCAGATGGCTGGGACCTCATGCATGCTAAGCATGCGCTCTACCACTGAGCTATATCCACCCCCCATAATTTGGTTTTATATAGCACTTCATCCACTGGCGCGCTCATGGTACTTACCAGTTCTTACCTTAGTTTTGGGGTGATTGGTGTCCCTGTTCTAGATCTCCCCCTAGACAGGGTCTCCTGGAGAACAGAAGCAGCATCAGGCTTTTGTTTTCCCAGGGCCTGGTACTTGAGTCAGTCTAATAAATACTACTTTATAGGAGCATGTCTCATGGGATGCTCTCCATGACTTGCCTGCCATAGGTGGGCATGGCTGTACCTATTTTACAGATGAGGAAACTCAGACCCAGAGAGGTCAGGAGACTTGTCTGACCTCACCAGAACTCCCCAATGCTCCTCAGCAAGTGAAAGGAGTCTTCCCCCGCAACAAGGGAGTAGAGGATGCAGCTTTACATGAGCTTCGATGTGTGCTGAGGTCACCTTGTCACTCTCTTTCCTTCTGCCCTCTGTCCTTTCTCTCCCTCTACCTTCAATTTGCTCTTTTTCTCTTTTTCCTTTGGCTGCCTTCCCTTTTCTTCCTCTTTCTTTTCCTCCATCATCTTTCTTACCTCTCTTTGGACCTGTGATTCTGTTCTGACTTCCACCCGGGGTCTGTCACCCCCACTACCTGCTACCTCCATTTTGCTGCCCAGCCCCTCCCCAAGGAATAGTTGAATGCCTACCTTGCTCTCAACCCCTAATCCTTTCTTGGGTAACTAAGAGGACCCAGGCCAGGGAAGCATCCAGTCATTTTCCTGCCCTTTCCTACTGCCCATCCCAAGCTAGAAAATAAACGAGTTAGAGAACTGTGTAAGTGGACAACTAGGACCAAGGGCCAGATTTCTTCTCCAAAGCCTTGTCCTGAGATATTGTTGGTACCAACTTCCACCACTAGGAGACACCAAGAGCAAGGAAAGTGTGAAAACAGGGGGTGCTAGGGTCCCCAGTGTGTACCTCACTCATTCATTCATTGATTCGTTGATTCAATATATTCTGAGCACTGACTGTGAACCAGACACTGTTCCACGTGCTTCGGATACAGAGTATCCTCTGCCATCTTGGAGCTTATATAGTAGCAGAAAGGGACAACTGT